GACACCTGTCTTTTCAAACCAAGACAATAATTTAAAAAGTGTCAATTTTATCAGAGATCCTTGGATATACACACTGAACATGCATGGCTAAGATATTTTCCCCAGTGACAAATTTCATACTTATACCAACAATGTATTATTTTCCTTAGTGGAAATAAACTGACATTCAGCAACATTCATTGCTGCAGACTGGGTCTCAGAGTTTCAGGAGAAAAATGAATGAGGTGCTGTATTAAGTGGTAGAAATCTTGTGTATGCGGAGAACTGCTCAATAGGGCGGGAATTAATCCCAAACTGAATTGTATACAGATGTCCGACAGAGTACAGAAGGCTTCAAGTATCTTGCCAGAGATTGAGGTGGAGTTAAAAAATACTTGGAGATGGATTTTTTTTTCATCTTTTTTTTAATAAAGTTTTTAATTTTGGTTTCTTATTACATTAACTTTTACTGTTCACTAACCACAAACTTTAACTATTACAAGCTTATTAGATACTAGAATGGTATTTTTCACATTGTATGCTTGATTTGCAAGGATGCAGTGCAGTGAAATCTTTTGTTCTTGATCTCCAGACTAATTAAACATGCCAGCAGAATGTTAGAAATACTTAATGAAATTATTACAGTGCGGTCCTCCATGAAATTCCTTGTCCTCTAAGAAAAGTGTTGCATCCTAATTTCTTTCAAGAAACTGTTTAACTTAATAGGTAAACTGGTCAAATTTCAGATAGTAGTTTTACAAAAAAGTTAAATTTTTAGATGAAGCAAAATAAGTTTTATGTTGTTCTGAATTTGGCAAATATTTCTCTTTGAAATTTTACCTTGACTTTCATTGTGACTCAACAAAAATGATTTTTGGAGAAAGAGAATAAAGAGAATTATTTGTATGGTACTCATTCCTGGCTAATATATCTGTTTTTTTTCTCTGCTAGGTTGAAGACTGACAAAGCGTTGCGTTTAAGTATTATTGGTGAGCAGAAACTTGTGTTACTGAATACAGTATTGAACTTTTTAGCGTAGATTTTAAGTTATACCAACTTTATAGATACTCCAATTACAGTTGCTTTCTCTGTGATCTTAAACTAGACTGTTGAAATGCTAAAATACCTGACGTGTTCGTTCAAGTGGTATACACAGGGTTGAAGTTGGGTCTGAGTAAAGCCTAATCTTCAGTCAGTATACATGGCAACAGGGCAATATAGACCAAATGTCAATTTTGTACATGTGTACATCTATTTATTGTACTTGTCTCCATCCTTTTTTCAATTGCTTATAAAAGAGAATGATATATGTAGGTTGACAGACAACATTGTTCTAGCAAGTACATTCAAAACTTTGAGACACAACCTGGGATATTTTTCTTTTTCGTGTCATTGACACTGCGTCTTTTCAATTTAATATGTTTAAAAATTGTGATGATCAGAACTCATGCTCAGCCATTGGGGTGTTTGTTTTCCCCCTTGGAGCCTTCCTAACTTTCCATCTTAAGCCATTGATACAGTGATATTACAAACACTGATTTTCAGTAAAGCAAAGCGTAACATCTTTTTTCCGTACAGAAGATATAAAATACATCTGAAATGATGTGAGAGTATTTCTGTTACAGCTACCTTCATACCTGGTGCGAAGGTAGCTGTAATACTTAAAATATCAATGAGTCTTTGATGCCATTCAAAGTCTTGAAAAATGAGGAGTTATTCCAAAAAACTTCAAAGAACTTTAATCTCTGTTGGTGCTACAGTGATGATGTAATCATTCATGTTTATTCTTGTAGGAGAAAAATTGCAATGGTTTCAAAGTCACCTTGACCCCAATAAAATTGAGTACACAAAGAAGGAAGCTGGCGATCTAGTTGAAAAGTAAGACTGATGTTAAAAACAGCATTAACAAGCTTGATTTGCCTTTTAAAATAATGTTCTTAAATAAGATCTGTAAAGTGATGATGACTCAGAGGACTTTTTATATATTACTGTTAATAATATCAAGTAGTTGATTTTTTTTGCAACTGAGGTTAATTATCTGTTGAAAGATGTATATAGTCACACAAAAATTACTGAAGTCAGTTGTGGTGGTGTTTGGGTTTTTTTTTATTATTTAAGTATGTCTCTGCTTTTGTAGTGCATGGAGGACTAAATGATTTCAACCGTAGTAATTGCATGAATTTGATAGTTGAGTTATTCAGTGACACTTCAATGCACAGATTTCCTTTTATTTACTTCTTTATTCTGGAATTTTCTTTGCTGAGAAGATTAAACAGCACTCAGGGGGGTCAATTTTTAGGGCAAGAACTATCAAAATTGAATCTGCTAAGAAGAAACTCTGTTATTTCTATACTGCTGGATGTATGTACCTGTGGCTTGTCACCATTTTTCACCTGCTAGCTAAATAACATATATGTATTCTTACACGGGTGTACTATATCAGTTTCCTTTCAATGTATTTCCTACATTGTTCATGAAACCTGTAAACTGCTAATCAACACTAGTGATACTGCAAAGGCAATAAAAGCTTACTTTTTGGATTTGGGCTGGTTGTTTGTGAGATGCGGTAGAACACATGCCAAAGAACTTTACTTTAAAAATTATTATTGAGGTGGTGAAATTCAGCAATTAAAAGTTAGGAATACTTGGACTGGTCTTCCAGAGCAAGTGAATTATAATAATGTGGGAGTTTTGTTTTATGCAAACATAGTTAAAAAAAAAAGGCACATAAAAATACCTAATCCTTCTGAAAGCTGCAGGTGATTCAAATGAAGTTCTAAGTGGAGCTTCCACTTTGAAGATTAAAGTAATAGTTCACATCTAAGAAACATCTCTCACTAATTTAGAAAGTAAATACAATTTGTAAAATAACTTGTTAGACTGTCAAAGTAGTTCTGTTTTGCAAAAGTTTGGTGTGACTGCATCTAGCGGACATGCATTTTTTTTCTTTCAGTTACATGTGTCGATTCAATGATGAATTGGAGCAGATTGAATTGCAAAACAGTATTAAAGGTAGACAAGGAAGACAGCATGGTGCACGGGAAACCGTTGTCAAGCAGACCATAGAACGTGAAAGACAACTCTATGAAGGCTATGGAATAGGTATGTAAAAGCAATAGAAATAACCCTGCTGTCACACCTTCTTCTGCTCACGAGGCTAGAACCTAAGTGAAATTTCTAGAGCTTATCTTTATTTTTCTCTTTGAAGGAATTAACTAACTGCTAGGTATTTATGCCTTGTAGAGGAGTCTGGGAGGAGGGGCAAGGTGAGGAAAAGGAGAAAAAGGGTGGTGGAGATAAGACTTGTGTATTCCTGCTTTACTGCTTTGCCTTTGTGCATCTTTGCTAGTACTGCCTCTTTAGTGCAGTTGTATATAACATATTTTTGAAACTAAAGTGAGATTTAATGCACCTGTCTCAAATGTAAACTGTGTTCCGCAGCTTGCTTGGGCCTTCTTTATATACAAAGTATTTTGTATCTTAAAAGTGCATTTCAGTGTCTGTGCATGTTATAACATGCATTAGCATGAAGACTTTATTTGCTCATGTGGGGAATAATCAGCATCGCTTTCTCTACAAATTAATTACTTTTTTTAGGGGAGCTTCGTTATCTGGACTTGTGCTGATGAAGTGTTTATACACAGCTTTCTCTAAAGTTCTTTCAATAATATACAAACTTACTGTTAGGGATAAACCTGTGGCCTGACTTGCCCCTTTCCACCGGGGTGGACCAGTGGCATGAGGAACTTCAGCAAGTTTCATATCATTGGGGAGTGGGCTTTAGGGTTCATGAACTTGAAGAGAACCAAAGCCTCTGAACTCGTGGGGCTAAAACGTCTTCAGAAAGAGACCTTTCATTCCTCTAAGACTGAGTTTCATGTGGGAGGATAACTGCAGCAGAAATTGTAGTACCCATGTATTTCCAAAATTGGAATATTTCTGGAGTTTTCCTATTAAAATTTGGGTATTCCAGGAAGAAATCCTGGTCCATTGTGACACATTTACATCTACAGGCTGTATTCTACAGCCATAAATTATAATCCACACATAGAAACCCACATTTTTCCTCTTGTTCTTCTCAGGCAGAGGAGTTATGCTGCTTTCTTTGACTTACTGGAGATGGTGATGGAAGGAGTGTAAGTGCTCTCCATGTGTGAAGGCCCTAACACTTAACCTCTTAACAATCAAAAACCCACAAAACCTCAGAAGATTTTAAAATTAAAAATCTTGTAGATAAGAGCCTAGTTGAAGCACTCAGTTTTTAAACATTCTCCAGTTTGAGTAAAATCATAATGCCAGATATTCTCATTGACTTTTTTATTACCATTTGTCTTCCTTTGGGGTAGCCATCTATGCCAGCAGAGTAACTAATGAAATCATCTGAGGAACAGTCATGTGTGAAAACCACGACATAAGCATTAGAGCTGAAAATTTCCTCGTGAGGTGCATAGTCTTCTTTAAGAAGAAACACTTAAAATAATTTTGAAAGTATTTTCTGGTTTGGGAGGTGGTACACACATGCAAGCTACATGTGAGAGGGAGAAATAAAAGACTGAAAATTTGATTGCTGGAACCGGGCTGAAGGGAAGCAGCAGTAATCTGGTGAAATAAAGGAGAAAGACAGGGATAATGAAAGTCCAAAAAGCAGAGAGTTGTTTTGAGGAGAGTCAAGTACAAAATAGTAGTGGAATTTATGTATTTTGCTGCAACAAATAAGCATGTTGGACTTGTGTGATGAACTTGGCTTTAATGCTAAAAGTATTATTCAGATGCAATCAGTCATTCTACCAGTGAAAGCAGGTCATGGAAGACATGAAAAATCTACCTTGTTCTGTGGTTAGGATACAAAGCACAGTGAGGTTTGGGTGCTGTGTCATATTCCCCTTTCTCCTGATTTATATTGTACCTATAAAGAAAACAAATGGCTTTAAAATTTTGCCAGTGTTACTTAGTACTGTCAATCTGCAGTGGCAGAGGAATTCAGGAATATCTACAGATGACTTCATGTGTAATCTGATTTCTTAGAAGAGGGGGGGAAAGTAATAGGAAAATAGATACTATGAATGTCATCAAATAGTTCAGTTGTAGAAAATCTCCTTTTTGGTTTTGGTTTTAAATTTTAGTTCTTCCTTTTTTCCTTGCTACTTTGTGGAACGCTGACAGAAAAAAGCATAGGACTAGATAGATGTCAAATGCACAAGCACAACATAAAAATAAAGCAGAATCCAGAATTATTGTAAGCAAAATTTGAGGTTATTATAGTACTATTAAGTAAAGCATTCAGAGAGCATGTTGCAACTTCACATATTAAATACACTCTCGAATCGTTCATTATTTGTTATCACAGCTGCTGCAGGTTTTGCTCTCTGTCTAGGACAGTATTCATTCAGAGAAAATAGTTGCTGCTAAATACTGTAATTACAGATTGGGATAAATGGAAATCAGCTGGAAACTGTGCTTTTATGCTGTAGCTCATTATTATCCCTGGAAGCTGTAGGGAGTGGAGCTTTTATAACTGACTTAGTATTTGTTGTTTTTTTTTTTTTTTCCCCTGTTCTTGAACTTGTTTATTTCTTGTATGTATGTGCATTTGCTATGAAGAGACTATATGATATGTGTTGTTTACATTTAGGAAACTCTCCTAAAATTTGATACTCTGTGTGTGTGTGTGTATATATATATATATGATATATGTAAAAGAAAAAATAATTCTTCTTTACTGGCTATTTACAAAAGTAGTAGATATCCAAAAGCATAGTAAATTGTAGTCTTTTTTTAAAAAACAGTACCTGTACAGGGAACACAGTCTGTCTGTGAGGTTGTTGAGTTTTGTTAGCAGCTTCTTGTCACTTCCTTGCTCCTTATATATATCTACATTAATTTTAATGCAGTTTTCTTCCTGATGTTGTCATTTGTGTGTGGTTTGTTTTTGGTTTTGTTTTTTTAATCTGGTCTTAGGTGTTTATAGCAAAGCTTTTGAAAGGGAATCCTAGATATTTACAGGATATGCTCTTGAAACGCAGAGTTAGCATGATTTCAGTTGAAAGGCATGATAATTATTTCATCATACATTGATAATTTGCTTCTAATTACCTTGCATGTTTTCTCAGAAGCATAATGTTAATCTTGGGGAAAAATAGCCTTTAAAGCTAAATGCACCAGTTAAATTAGTTAATTCTTGAAACTTCAGGTTATAAAAATTGATTTAATTCAGATGAAATTTGTATCATTTACATGTATCTGCTAGTGTAGCCGCTGTGCTGTTTGTTAGCTGCAGCTTTCTGTAACAATCATTATTGTGTAACTGAATGGTTCTTTGTCTAAAGAGTATCTACAGTTTTGAACATCCTTTTCCTTTGTTAACTTCAGGCTTCAAAATACCATCCTTTGACCTGACTTAGGTGTTTCTCTGTATGACAGTTCTGATGGATGTGATATATATGCAGCTTATATTCTGTGCAGAGCACTGACAGAGCAGTGACACTTCAGTCCTCATGAGATTTAGGTAAATCGCTTGTGCAAATCTTTGCTTTGGGAGAGAGAAATGCTATGAAGAACGATGATGTTTTTATTAACAGCATACTTCTGGAAGGAAATACAACATCTCAGCAGACTGTCACAGAGCACTTGGTTAAAAAGTAGTGCCGGGGGATACAGCTGTAGAAGGGCACTCTGACACCATCTCCCGCTTTCCTCCAGTTATGCTCTAGAAGCCCTCCAGTTCAAGCCTGTGCCCAGAGGCAGGATTGGTTAGACCTACAGCTGACAGGAGCTTTTCACTTCTGATGCCCATAAGAACTTTTGAAGTAATCTGGTCCAGTGGTTCTCCATCCCAACAGCTGGAAAGGTGCTGACTTCACAGGATTTTACTCAAGTTCTGTGTTATAAACTAAGCCCAGTCACTTTGACTTACTACCTGTTTTGAAACGGTGTTAAGCACTAACACCTTCATGACAAAGTTTGAGAGCTAACGTGCTGGTTTTTCTTCCTCAGAAGATAGATAGGAAAATAAACGTATCTGAAAGGGTCAGAAACATGAAAAAACTGCTTCCTTAAAGTTTTCGCTGCTGTTTCCTTATAACACATAGGTTGCTGAATACTTTATCTTAGAAATGCCAGACAATATCTGCTCTCCCAAATACTGTCTTCATTTCTTTTCCACTAACTCCTGTGCAATATTTCTCAGTCTTCCATTTTTTTTGTCTTTTGGTTCAGGAAAACACACTCCTGTGACTTAACATTTTAAAACTAAACTAAGTTCACAAGTAGCAGCAAAACCCATGACACTGGTGCATGCTAAGGAGATACTTCTGAGTAAGACAAGTGTTATTAATATGAAAATACAGTGCTACTGCAGCTTCCCACCATAATTTAAAAACAGTTACTGTGCACTATATAGTTGCTTTATTTCTACACACATGGGACTAGAGTTTCTAATGCTGTTCCTAATCTCGCAACTCTGTGATTAGTGTTGTACAACATATTGCAAACACCCAGGTAAGCAAAAGTTAAAGATTTTGCTGCTGACAAAGCTGTAAAGGTTGATTCAGTGCCAAATCTTGGTTTGTCACAGAGTCTCCTCCCTTCAGAATGCCTGCTTTATCGTGACGCTGAGCCCTGGATGACAGGCTAGATAAAAGTGTTGGAATATTCTCTTTGGAAAAAGTCCTATGTAGTTAATAAAAGCCATTAAATGCCTTCCAAGGTGGTGTTTGTTTGTGGTTTTTTTCCCAACCAAAAATAGCAATTTAAAGGGCTTGATCTGAAAGTCTTGTAATTTAGTCCTGGTTTGTCTGAGAGTAACACTGAACTTTATGTTGAATCAGTGCTTTGATATAGAAGGAACAAATACAAATCTTGGCATACTTCTGGGACAGCTGGCCCAAATTAGCATGGTGCTGCTTCTGCCAGACTCACTGTTTACATCTCTAAGCTCTGCCCTAGAAGCAAACGGAGTAGGCATTGCTCCTTGTAAAATACCCGAGAGAAGAACTTCTTTCTCTTTCGGGGGCTAGGATGTTTCAGCACTTGGCACTGTGCTGCCACGAGTGCAGTTGAAAGGACTGCAAAGAAAGCAAGAGGGACCATGGCTTCGTTTCAGT